ACATTCTGTGGAATATAGGGAATCTATTCTTATCACTGACCACAAAGCCCTCATCTTTTCTTCGACCTTGTCTTCGGAAAAGTACTCTCCCCTAGATTCTTGACAAGTGGGCTACGTTTCACAGTTTACTTCAGATACACAGTATATTTCTGGGAAAGACAATGTAGTTGCAGACTCCTTGTCTCGTATAACTTCGTCGAACCGTCTTCAAGGAATTGAAGATTCTAGAGTCCTCTCCAAGTATCCACTAGCGCTGAATAACTAAGAAATAGCCAATCACCACGCCTGAACATAATTCTGCACGGAACATGCATTAATCCTATCTGTATTCCGCCAACAGAATAAGAAAATCACTCCGCGTCGTTAACCCTTGCCACGCATCCACGACTTGACGATTACCTTAAATGGTACAACTGTTTTATTAAAAATCGAAATGGTTAAATACATGTAACCAAATTCATATGGCTACAAACGACATTCTTAACATGGCTCTCATCACTCCGTTCGGACTCTACAAATTTTGCGCATGCCTTCCGGTTTAAGAAATGCTGCACATTCATTTTCGGAGGTTCATCAATGAAGGGCTCGCAGGCCTCAATTTTATGCGCGCGTGTGTAAATGAATGCTTGACTGCTAGTTCGGACAGGGGCTTCCCTCTCCAACATCTAGACCTTGTTTTCGAACGACAGCAAAACAGGATATTACTGCAAACATTCAGAAACATCAAGTCGAAACGGACTTTGTTCACTTTCTCGGGCACTCTATTGACGCTCACAGTATTCATGCAACCAACGGTTCATACCGGATTGCTCATCTCTTATGAGACCCTTAATAGGCCAACTCTTTCAAAATGCGTAACTCATCAATTTGGTTGACGACAGTGAGTATACAACACGTGATAACCTTTGGCACTGTTCTTGAGACGTTTTTAAAACATTGAATTTAGGTATGGCAATTTCAACAGGGAACTCCTAGCCATGTATAGTGCTTAGCTACACTTTCAACATTCTGTGGAATATAGGGAATCTATTCTTATCACTGACCACAAAGCCCTCATCTTTTCTTCGACCTTGTCTTCGGAAAAGTACTCTCCCCTAGATTCTTGACAAGTGGGCTACGTTTCACAGTTTACTTCAGATACACAGTATATTTCTGGGAAAGACAATGTAGTTGCAGACTCCTTGTCTCGTATAACTTCGTCGAACCGTCTTCAAGGAATTGAAGATTCTAGAGTCCTCTCCAAGTATCCACTAGCGCTGAATAACTAAGAAATAGCCAATCACCACGCCTGAACATAATTCTGCACGGAACATGCATTAATCCTATCTGTATTCCGCCAACAGAATAAGAAAATCACTCCGCGTCGTTAACCCTTGCCACGCATCCACGACTTGACGATTACCTTAAATGGTACAACTGTTTTATTAAAAATCGAAATGGTTAAATACATGTAACCAAATTCATATGGCTACAAACGACATTCTTAACATGGCTCTCATCACTCCGTTCGGACTCTACAAATTTTGCGCATGCCTTCCGGTTTAAGAAATGCTGCACATTCATTTTCGGAGGTTCATCAATGAAGGGCTCGCAGGCCTCAATTTTATGCGCGCGTGTGTAAATGAATGCTTGACTGCTAGTTCGGACAGGGGCTTCCCTCTCCAACATCTAGACCTTGTTTTCGAACGACAGCAAAACAGGATATTACTGCAAACATTCAGAAACATCAAGTCGAAACGGACTTTGTTCACTTTCTCGGGCACTCTATTGACGCTCACAGTATTCATGCAACCAACGGTTCATACCGGATTGCTCATCTCTTATGAGACCCTTAATAGGCCAACTCTTTCAAAATGCGTAACTCATCAATTTGGTTGACGACAGTGAGTATACAACACGTGATAACCTTTGGCACTGTTCTTGAGACGTTTTTAAAACATTGAATTTAGGTATGGCAATTTCAACAGGGAACTCCTAGCCATGTATAGTGCTTAGCTACACTTTCAACATTCTGTGGAATATAGGGAATCTATTCTTATCACTGACCACAAAGCCCTCATCTTTTCTTCGACCTTGTCTTCGGAAAAGTACTCTCCCCTAGATTCTTGACAAGTGGGCTACGTTTCACAGTTTACTTCAGATACACAGTATATTTCTGGGAAAGACAATGTAGTTGCAGACTCCTTGTCTCGTATAACTTCGTCGAACCGTCTTCAAGGAATTGAAGATTCTAGAGTCCTCTCCAAGTATCCACTAGCGCTGAATAACTAAGAAATAGCCAATCACCACGCCTGAACATAATTCTGCACGGAACATGCATTAATCCTATCTGTATTCCGCCAACAGAATAAGAAAATCACTCCGCGTCGTTAACCCTTGCCACGCATCCACGACTTGACGATTACCTTAAATGGTACAACTGTTTTATTAAAAATCGAAATGGTTAAATACATGTAACCAAATTCATATGGCTACAAACGACATTCTTAACATGGCTCTCATCACTCCGTTCGGACTCTACAAATTTTGCGCATGCCTTCCGGTTTAAGAAATGCTGCACATTCATTTTCGGAGGTTCATCAATGAAGGGCTCGCAGGCCTCAATTTTATGCGCGCGTGTGTAAATGAATGCTTGACTGCTAGTTCGGACAGGGGCTTCCCTCTCCAACATCTAGACCTTGTTTTCGAACGACAGCAAAACAGGATATTACTGCAAACATTCAGAAACATCAAGTCGAAACGGACTTTGTTCACTTTCTCGGGCACTCTATTGACGCTCACAGTATTCATGCAACCAACGGTTCATACCGGATTGCTCATCTCTTATGAGACCCTTAATAGGCCAACTCTTTCAAAATGCGTAACTCATCAATTTGGTTGACGACAGTGAGTATACAACACGTGATAACCTTTGGCACTGTTCTTGAGACGTTTTTAAAACATTGAATTTAGGTATGGCAATTTCAACAGGGAACTCCTAGCCATGTATAGTGCTTAGCTACACTTTCAACATTCTGTGGAATATAGGGAATCTATTCTTATCACTGACCACAAAGCCCTCATCTTTTCTTCGACCTTGTCTTCGGAAAAGTACTCTCCCCTAGATTCTTGACAAGTGGGCTACGTTTCACAGTTTACTTCAGATACACAGTATATTTCTGGGAAAGACAATGTAGTTGCAGACTCCTTGTCTCTTATAACTTCGTCGAACCGTCTTCAAGGACTGATCTTTTCAAACTCGTTCAGATTCGTAAGAAAACACTGATCTCCAGGAAGGATTATCTTCAATAACCCTGAAACTACAGAACGAGAATTGAAATTTCGCTATATCACGCATCTACAGGTAGGGATAATTTAATCTTACCGAAACATTATAGACACAACGTCTTCAATACGTTGCACAGACTTGCTCATCCAGGTGTTCGAGCAACCATCACAGAACAACAATTTTGTTGGCTCAGTATGAATAAAGACGTGAGGGCGTGGCTATGTTCCCCTGTAAGCTGCCAGAAATCTAAGGTAAATAAATTCACCAAATAAACAGTTATTTTATTCTTCAACACTGATGCTGACTGCATCAGTTTTACCAGCTACACTTAACTGAAGACTACAGGTCACGCATCCTCACCAGATCACAAATGGGAACGCTGCGCTATGCATCTGTCGGAACTACTAGTTAGCTTAGATTAAGCGATACTCAATATATGTAACTTTCCAAACATATCTTTGAACTCCTTTACTTCCGATTTCTGATTTGACTAGGTTACTATACCTCGATTATAAAGGTTTCACGTGTAAAAGAGTTGTTACACTCCCACAACCGTTTCATCATTAGAGGTTTCTTCTTCGTTTTAGATTCCTAGAAACTGAGGAAGATAACTTTTAGTGTTATTCCACAATTCATCCTCACCTAATACCTCTTAGATGGAAATCACAAGGAATGGGCATTTCTCTGATTCTGTCCATGTGAAGTTTGAGGCCTTAATGTGAACGCCGTTTATTGTGCTAAATAGACTACTGTGTCACTTTAAAAGACATTGTCTCTTTAGGTAAGTTTATGTATTTCCTCGTCTAATGTAGGGGTTAATAAACCGTTATTGAATCATCCTAGGCGGCAACAATCTAAGTGGTTAACAGACGAGCGTTATGTATTAAGGAGCAGATGTACAATATGTATATCCCAAGGGGAATAAGTTATCCACATATTGTTAACTTTGAGTAACATGAATGACTAATTTCTTCGGGTACCTTTAGTATACACTTCTCATAGGCATCTATACCTTTTAGCAACACCGGTCCCCCTTCCAATTTTGTTGAGAATATAAAGAGTAATTAGGGATTATCGAACAATGGTTATCCAAAAGTACATTCGATTGTATGTCACGGTGAAATGTGTCCATTTACCTCAGCTTCCCTGATAATCGTTTCAGTATCTGCATAAATAAGATAAAAACATTTTAGTGGTAACAACAATTACATGTACAAGTATGCTTTCCTATTATCGGCAGCTGCACCGCTTGTTACCAGGATAGATCCCAGGAAAATAAGGTTCTTACTTTGTACATGGACGTAATGAGTATATGTCGTCTTCAACTATTAGAATTATGCTTCTTCTACACTCTGGAGAACTTTCGAAGAATTTTCAAATTCACCTCATATCAAGAATATTTGATAAAGGATTGCCTGACGAGAAGTACCAGTTAGGTCGGCCGAAATACCCTCATGAGTATTTGACGCTACATTAGCACCGAGTAAATGGACAGAAATTATGACAGTTACAGAGAGATGTAATATACAAATTTATCTACTACTAGCTATATTTCAACAGTTATAAGTTCATTCCAGAGGTTTTCTTTATCTGTAAGGTATTTGAAAAACACATGAATATGCGTTATTCGGCGTTTTCCGATAGATACAGGTCTTCTAATCGTAAACATACTACCAAGTTAAACTGGCTCGCAAACGTCTCAGCGACTAAGGATACTTCAAACGTGAAATGACCGCTTTCGGGAGGCTCAAGGTCGCTGAGTGGAAAAGCGGTAATTCTGTACCTTTGCACCAATGTTATGTCTTTTTAACGGGCTGTTATTGATCAGTTGTTTTCTTCACATTGATCACTTAATGTTGCAAGCCCTTCCAGGTCATAGCAATTCAGTATATCATACTTGGTGATTTTCTAATGGATGACCAAAGTAAACCTCAGCTTGAAGACGGGACCGGAGAACAACATCAGTCAGATACTTTCGAAATAGATGAAGTTGATTTGCCTAACGTGAACGATGAAGAAATATACCTTGAACACTGCCGAATCAAATGTATCAGTAAACTAAGTCGGTTCCCAAATGTCCGCTCATTATGTCTTCGAAACAACTTACTGAAAAAGTTGGAAAACTTCGAGCCTATCTCTCAAACCCTTGAAGATCTGGACGTTTATGATAATCAGATCACTAAGGTAAACTTTTCAACTAAATGTGAATGACCATTTTTGTCCCGGTGTATGTCGTAACAGTGTGATAGGTCTACCATATACGGCATATAATTGCTTTAGAATTACTGTCGACTTGTTGGTTAGCAACATATTGGTACCCATTAGTTTATCCATGGGACTGGTCTTCTTACGCGCTGGTTACACAGATGTCTTAACTTACGGTGACAGTGGTTAGCCTAGCATTACCAAATAAGTAATATGTCAGCAGTTCTGATACGACTGAACTAGTTAGACCTTCTCAAAGTAACATGTTTCACCTTGTTATCATTGAGGTAGCTGAATTAACATTGTAACTGGGACTCATTGTCGTTACCCATCCAAGTAATATTAGACAAATATATTTCAATCTGTATTAGAATAGCTTTCTAGGAATCGAAATATGTAGTTTCTCAAAATAAAAGCTGTCATACTGACAACTTAAGTTTTAACAACAGTATCTTGCCTACTAGAAACAACCAGCACCTCTACCAGTAATGAATATGTTGATTAAATGTTTGATTGAAAGACATGTTATATCCCTAAACAACGTAGGACCTGACTCATATATATCGTCGCAAGTCACCACACTGCAAGTCAACGGGATGAAAACTTGGGAGTCGGGATGACATCACTGATAGTGGGGGACTAAATATATAAAATATAGTAAGGAAGAGACAATAGGAGAAAAAAAATGAAAAGTTTGGAACATTATCTAGACTCAGGATTTAGAGGTTAAATAATGAGAGCAGTTACGTTACTGTGACTAATTTCAACTCATTCCAGTCGGGATCTCCAACTATAGATCACATTATTCCTGATCCTAATGGGGAAGTCTGTACTTGACCCTACAATCGATGGACTCATGTCCCATTCGTCTTCCTGAAACGACAATGTGTGATTAGTCTGAGACATTTTTCTAAGACTGTAGATTGTAAGTATGTATACATTATACCTGTTTCCAAACCCTTGATTATTCATTCAACCTTTACTTGCCGGTGTTAAGATTACGTTATTCATCTTTGGGCATCCTTAAATCCCTTGAGTCATTTATATAAATATTCAGGTATGGTAAAGTTAGGTGCATAATTCACTCATCGACTAGGTCTCGTAAACATTTAACAAATAGGTTGCTTGAAGCATTTTACGTATCCTTGGCCGCTGCGCACATTGATACGAGGTGAGTTAAAGTCGAAGCTGATCATGTCAAACTTCAAGTGGTTAAACAAAACAAATTTTTTGACTGGCAAGGTCTACAAGACAATAAAAATTCAGGGTTAATTATCGGGTGGTGTAAATGTTTCGTTGTTTATGACGAATGTATTCAACATACTCGTTCTTTTTCCACCAGTGTCCTCAGTATTATCATAACCATCATGCTTACTATTATTTGATTGCCTTCACCCTCACTGTTATGACCTTGGATGTCTGACTTTTCGATCACACGATTTATCTACCAATCCGAATACGACTTATACGAATCTTCACACTAGGCTAACCAATGAAGTTCAACCGGTGTGGGCAGTTTAGCGTCCTTATTGGTCCTATGTCCTACGAGCCCTTCCACTTGAGTCCAGAACAAGATACCAGCTTCCGAATCAGAGCAGATCGTTTATTTCAGGCATACTTGGTTTATATATCAATCACACAGACCGCAACGTACCATAAAATAGGAAATAATATTTGTACACAAATAAGCCCAAAAAGTGGCTGTGAATGTGGGAGGCAGTAGTTAATAAACTGAACATAACTTAAGAACCGTAAATCGTACAATAATAAGTTATAGGTCAAAATAAAGCTTATCATAAAAGGAATATAAATATACATGGTGTAATTGTTGAGTAGTTATACAATAAGAATATTTATAGAATATTAGTCCATGAATAGTCCTTGGAATTTACCTGTAATTTAATCTTCACCGGATATAACACTCACCATTATGTTTACAAAGTTTGTCATCATAAACGAATAAAATGAACTCAGACTTAATTGCGATTTTATTTACTTATTTAAACACATAAACATTGGTACAAGGAGGCACCAAGTAGATATGCGCCACATAAATCATTCGATTTGTGTGAGGGTTGTGATACTGCCTGGGTGCCCAAACCGAAGCAGGTGGTTTTCTCAGGGGGCCACACCCCGAGCATTTGACCTATAGGTCTGACCCACAAGGCAATGGAGCATCGTGAGGAGATGCAGTCCCATGGTAGCCGGTGACCAACGATTGGTTCATACGCCATTTGTTCCCGCAGGATACTGGAGCCCATGTGCTTCATTGGTTTGAAATCCGGTTAAAGCGCCGGACATTTGCTTTTCGTCCTCCCAATTTCGTAAACAACACCCCTACCACGAGAAGGCAGTGGGTAGGACTTCCCTGGCAGGAGCTGTATACACGTGGTCGTGTGAGAGCATCCCGAGAGGGAGGGCGGGCCCACCCACTCTCGGCCATACCAGGGCATTTGGGGGCTAATCGCGATTTAAACTGTTGCAAGTCAAATATATATTCCATAATACAATCATGTAAGGCTACTATAAGCCTTACTATGAAGATTCTTGTAACGCTTCTATGTATCTTATTTTCAGATTGAAAATTTAGAGTGCCTCACAAAACTGACTAATCTTGATTTGAGCTTTAATCGGATAAGACGTATCGAAAACTTGGAGAATCTAAGTAATCTCCGGAAACTGTATTTCGTAAACAATCATATCTCAAAAATAGAGAATCTGAGCAACTTGCAAGACCTAGAATTGTTGGAACTTGGTTCAAACAAAATAGGGAAGTTAGAAAATTTGGATGGATTGAAAAAATTGACTGAACTTTATTGTGGTAAAAACAAAATACCAACAATGGGAAACTTGGATAACTTGACTAATTTAACCATTCTTAGCATTCAGGTGAGTATATTTTCTCATATTACATACGCCAAGATATATTTTGGACTTGAGGTATAGCTTATACAAACTTTAGAAACAAACAATTTTGCTGGTAGGCGCGAAATAGATAAAGTCACAAATACAAATGAAACTGAAGACTTTTAAACAGGTTAGTAAAAATGCAGCAAATCTAGGGTCCGAGAGTGAGGTATTATTGCTGATATAGTAAAGTATTTTCCATAGATAAACAGAACCCCTAGAAATCTGGCCCGTTGTTGTTAAACTCATGTCGGTTGTAGTCGCCACTAATGGAAGATCTGTCCAGCCTTCGTGAGATAGTACAAATTAAGAGACAGCCACCCTAAACAGTACCGTCCGACTTGATCATTGCAAATGTAATAGTAATAGCTTTTACTCGAAATTAAACAATTTGTCTGATTTTTCCAAAACATGATTAATGGTAGCTGTATGGTTAAGTCCACTTTTAAGGAAACCCTTATCACAACACAAGCAAACAATAGTCGAGCATCCATGAGTATAAGACAATTTAGGTTATGTATACTAAACTTGTAATTCTCAAACTTGTTCTAGTTGACTGAAGGCAAAGCTTCAGTTACTACAAAATAATGTCACAAGGAAGCAGTATTACAAGATTCACTAAGTATCCCTTTAATTGTTATGATTGTCAAACTCGACTAACGTTTTTTGTCTTCATCTTCCATTTAATTAATTATATAGGGTAACAGACTCACCAAAATAGATGGATTAACCAGTCTTGTTAATCTGGAGCAACTATATCTGAGCGAGAACGGGATAACAGAAATTGAAGGCCTTGAAACATTATCAAAGTTACAAATTTTAGACCTAGCGTACAACTTCATATCACAGATTCAAAACATGTCGAATTTGGAAAATCTAGAAGAATTTTGGTGCAATGACAATAAGATATCCGATTGGGAGCAGCTAGAAAAGTTAAGTGTATTAAAAAAGCTGCGAACTTTGTATATGGAGCGTAATCCAATCTATTTTCTAAGCACAGATCGTACAAAACATGATTCTAATTACCGACGAAAAATACTATTAGCTCTACCGAATCTTCAACAACTGGATGCAAATCTTACAGGGGTTGGGATCTGATTACATCTTTGCTGTAATTGATTTCCCAATTTTTTCCTGCGGCTTCAGATCTATTGTTTTTAAGCTTTGCAGGAAATTGTGACTGAATTTAATGTACTTTTTATACATGTATCTGTGTTATATATTAAGATCTTAAAATATGCAACTTACCAAACCAACGTGCTAATAAATTTCCTACTTAGCGATGATTAAAAACACAACAGTCTCTTAGTGTCTACATTTATTCGTCTTTAAAGCAATGTATGCCGTTAAAAGAATGTATGGGTCGTGGCCAGATTCAAACAGAATCCACTCACGGTGAAGATACTTTACTGAAACTTGACGTTCAATGATGAGTGCACTATGCACAACTGATGCAGAGCAATGACGCGCGAAAATCCTTAGTCGAACCCTATATATGTATACCAAGTGACCATCTTGAAAGCAGTAAGAATACATCTAGTTTGTTGTGCTTATTGGCGCACTACAAAGAGGGCATCGTTGGGCTACTAATAAAAAATGATGTAATTAGATTTTAACCATAGTAAAGCAATAAGTACCGTTGTTTCGACAAACATTCACCTTTGTAAACATGAACCGTACGGAACAAGTTTATTTAGCCAAAGTGGGAATTCGATATAATCATTTATTTTGTAAGCAGTATTTTTGCCAATTCCAAAGACATTTAATTTATTGCAAGTATCCTAAACTGATGTAATATCACTACTTGGAGTCATTTAGTCACAAAAACTACTGTACTAATTTATTATTTGAAAGATATTTTTTCGTATAACAAATTTCTGCATAAATATGGATATTATTCATAAGCATATGTATAATTGATTTAAGCAATGTTTTATTATCAATTATTGACACAAACTATGCAACTTGCGACAACTTAATGAGCATGGTAGAAAATGTGCAACGATTATGTGTCGTCAATTATATCTAAGAAGTCTGGAAAACCTAATCCACGTATCGCGAATAGTTCAGCTCGCTTCTTGGCTAGTTCTTTGCGCGAGGCTGTCTGTTCTTGCTGGAGCTTATAAATCTCTTCTTCTGAAACTCTTTCTAGCTTCTCGTCGATGTTTATTTCCGGACTCTGTAAAGGAGGGAGAAAAATGCACTTCGTTAACAAATGTGCAAATGAATTCCTGTCTGTTGGGCAAATCGTCTGAGTTCTTAACTTGGGCAACTGGGTTGTACTCGTAGCCCTCACTTAAATTGCAGCTTGGAACATACTACATAAGAGTTCACTTTGTCAGTAACGCTCACCTTGCTGATAGTTTAATAGTAATTGGCTTTGTGCTACTGTCACATATAAACAAAGTGGGTAAGATAAAATGAAATATTTCATTCAGAATGTTAAGCAGATCGGGATCCAAGCAGACTTTTAACATCCGAGTTGGAACTATTAACCACTGATCTAGACCACAAAACAATTTATTTAACCAAGGCACTAACATGGACCAGTCTTGGAGTATGCGTCACTAATAACAGCATGTAACTGTTCTTACCTATGTTTATGTTCAGGTGACTGGACATTCCTGTGAAATTTTAAGTTAACCAAACTATTACATGGCTTCATCAAAAGTTACACAAATGCGTGGGAGATCGACCTATGGAAAGTTCTACTTGCACAAATCAATGGCAGATGTTACTGTGGTTCTTTGTTTTGAGTGATTATGATAAGTTTCAACAAACATATTTTGGTACCGCATAGATTATTATTATTAACAAACAGACCAGTAGAAACTGTTGAATGAGATTCGGATGAGGATTACTTTTTATACCTATTAATTTAGGCTTATTCCAACAAAAAGTTACTATTACCAAATTAAGATTTTCGTTTATGCGGAGTAAGTTGGGAAATAGTGTTTTTGATCAGCTCTGGCTAGTGGTTATCACTGGATTTATCGGAAAGTCCATCTGAACTAGGAATGCGATTACAGGACGACGAACATCTGTTTATATTCTTAACTATCTAATTATTTGTACACTTCTTATTACGTAATTTCGACAATGTTTTCTGATTATTATTTCAAAGTTTACTTATCTAAGTTGAACCTTATTATGTCGAACTATATATATATATATATATATATATATATATATATATATATATATATATATATATATATATATTAAAAAGTTTACTATCTTACCAGTTCCCCGATAATTGTAATATTTTCACCTCTAATTAAAAGTATTCCCTGGGGAACGTCACAGAATTTTTTCGCCACATGTATACGTTCCGCAGCATTATGAAGGACGACATTGCCTACCGATATATAAATTGGATATGATATCTTACCGAACTGGTCAATTATTCGAAGAAATCCAATAAACATACGACCTCCTCGTACAATAATCGCCATTTTTTCTACAAAAGATCGTTGGGCCACCAATCACAACGAACTTCCAATATCCTGAATTAGACTAGCAGCTCCTGGATAGTTATTTTCAGACGACGGCATCTCAAAATAAAGTGAATAAGTGAAATAGTAATCGGAAGCAAATTAGTGAATTGTGTTACGTTGTGCGACGGTTAGTAGAGAATAAAAAAATACCAATAGAGTCGCACATGAGTTTGTATATTATAGTGTACCTGCTTCTCAGGACAAACTGACTATGTATCTTCATTGGGTCATTTAGAGGAAAGATTGAGTGAAATACTTCCTGAAATTGTCTAATTATAGCTAGGCGCTATATTAACCTATAAGTTATACAGATAACACTGAAATATTAGTGATGTGGCAAGTTAGCCATCATTATGAACGAAGATATCCAAAACATTAAAATGCAGAAGAGCTATACCACTGAGCTAATAGTATACGTGTAAACAAACTCAGCGTAACGAGGAATCTATCGAAACAGGGTTGAGAATTACTAATGGGAGTAAGAGTATTCATCATGAACTGATATCAGTTATGATGCGAGAATCTAAACTCCAAATTAAGTCCCAGCAGTATAATATATCATTTAAAAAAATCTTTACTGTCTCTTGGTAGACTGTCGCGATGGACCAACCAGTTTATACTGGCTGGAACAATCGTTCCTTAAGATCCTAACATGCCAAGCAGATCGGCTGAGGGACAGCAAAACTAAAAGCAGCAAATCCAAGGTCCGAGGGCGAAGTCGTACTGCTGACCGTAGAGGTGTAACGGCAGTAAGTTGTTTCCCTCAGACAACCAGCGTGATGGCGGTGCTACTTTCCCACAAAGGAAGACTTGGGTTAGAAAAAGTCAACCATAAAGATGTATACCTCGTCTCATCTCACGAATATCCGTCTCCGTCTCAACGAGTACGGAGCTAGAACAAAAATTACTCACAAAATGGTCGTGTGTGACCGCCCTTAAACAGTTGTCCCTTGGGCACCGTGGTCACGCTCTCAGGTCACTGAGACCACCTCTAACCCAAGTTCCTTTTCAGATACCTCGAGAAGAGCCCTTCCACGGTGTGAGCAACCGGGAAGTGATAAACACCCTCATATCTCTAACAGGACTCAAGATCACCGTATTCATTATCAATTTCCCTCCACAATTCCTACTATTCCTCCTATCTCGACTATCAACTATAAACTTCCTCCTCAGATGTCACCATGGCCAACGATTCTATTGCGCGAAGTACCGTCCTAAGTCTACTGAAACCTCGCTCAAAACTACACATTAAAGTCTTCAACGTACGTACTTTATGTCAAATCGGCCAGCAGGTCTCCTCAGCTAAGATCGTAGAATCTCGTATGATTGATGTATGTTGTGTCTCCGGAACACACATACAGGATCCTAGTGTGGTCACACACATAACTTCACCTAGTTAAAACAGGGAGCCAACGGGATACACCCTCCGTTTATCTGGCGACTCGACGGAAAGTCCTCGTGGACTGGTGAGTGTAGGTATAGTACTAGGTATGAGGGCAGAAGAAATACTTCTAGAATGGACCAATGTTAACAGTCGCCTACGTGCTGTTCGGACGAACGGCTCCGTAAGAACTCGGAAGGATTGGGATATACGTCAATGCCTTTGCGTCATTTCTGCCAACGCCCAAAATGATTGCAGCCCGGGTGAAGTGAAAGATGAATTTTACAGAAAGCTTTCTGAACTTCTTCAGAAAGCTAAACGCTCAGACATAGTACTCATAGGGGGTGACTTTAATGCTCAGATAGGTAGCTTAGACCAAACAGAAAGGCATTTAGGTGGATACTTTAGCATTCCAGCACAGCGAACAGATAATGGTGACCGTCTGCTGCAACTGTGCTCAGACAATCGCTTATTTTTAGCAAACACAAATTTTAAGCATAAGAAGAGACATCGTCTAACATGGCGACCCCCTACACTAAACCAACGATGGACTCAAATAGACCATATTGCCATCAGTCATCGTTGGAGAGGGTCGGTAGAAGATTGTCGCTCATTCTGGAGTACCTGCTTGGACTCCGACCATGCCCCAATACGGGCACGCATCTGCTTGCGCCTCACTGGACGCAAAGAAGCCTCAGTAAAAAGAACAATTAGAACTGATTTGAGTAGCGAGAAAACCAAAAGTAGGTTCCAGGAACAACTGAGGTCACACTTAAATAGTTCTGAAAACGAGGCTGACCCAGATGTTGCTTGGAAAGCTATACTCGTCTCAGGTGCGTATCTTGGTAGTCTGGTTCAGTTTCTTACGATCACTAATTTTAAGCATAATGAGAGACCCCCTGCACCAAACCGATGGTAGACTTAAATAGACCATATTGCCATCAGTCATCGGTAAAAGACCGTCGCTCTTTCTGGAATACATGTTGAGAAACTGACCGTGCTCTAGTAAGAGCAGGCATTAGCTTGAGCCTCACTGGACACAGAAAAGCCACATTAAAAGGACCCATTATGATTGAATTGAGTACCCCGACCGTTGTTGCTACCTTGACGTGGTGGTCGGGCTTGCCTATCGTGATGAAGCAACCGAGCTATACTGGCTGGAACAACCGTTCCTCAAGGTCCTACCATGTCAGACAGGTCGGTTGAAGAACGGTAAGACTAAAAGCAACAAACCCAAGGTCCGAAGGCGAAGTCGTACTGCTGACTGTACAGAGGTGTGACAGCAGTAAGGTGTTTCCTTCAGACAACCAGCATGACAGCGATGCTGTCTTCCCACAAGGAGGGGTGGGGTTAGCAAAGGTCGACCCTAAAAATGCACACCTCACCTTACCTCACGGATTTCCGTCTCCGGCGGTAAGGCCCTTTGAAGAACGGAGCTAACACGTCAAAAACCTCCCACGAAAAGGCCGTGCGCGACCGGCCTCAAGCAGTTGTCCCTTGGGCACTGCGGTCACGCTCTCAGGTCACTGAGACCACCTCTAATCCAATTTCCTTTTCAGGTACCTCCAGAAGAACCCTTCCTCGGTGTGGGCAACCGGGAAGTGATAACCGCCCTCATACCTCTAACAGCACTCGAGACCACTGTATTCATAATCAACCTTCCTCTTCAATTCCTATTATTCCTCCTACATCGACTTTCCACTCTAAACTTCCTCTTTCGGCTTCTTCCTCAAGTGTCACCATAGCCAACGATTCTAGTGCTCAAAACCCTGTCCCAGGTCTACTGAAACCTCGCTCCAAACTACACATTGGAGCCTTCAACGTACGAACCCTATGTCAAATCGGTCAGCAGGCTTCCTTGGCTAAAACCCTAGAGTCTCTTTCCATTGATGTATGCTGTGTCTCCGAAACACGCATACAGGATTCCAGTGTGGTCATTAACTCGACCTCACCTCGGCAAAACGTACAGCCAACGAGATACACCCTCCGTGTATCTGGTGACCCGATGGCCAGTTCTCGTGGACTGGCAGGTGTAGGCATAGCACTAAGCATGAGGGCGGAACAAGCACTGCTAGAGTGGATCCCCGTCAACAGTCGTCTATGTGCTGTTCGGTTAAACGGCTCCGTAAGAATTCGGAAGGATAGGGATACACGTCGTTGCCTTTTCGTCGTTTCTGCCTACGCTCCCACTGACTGCAGCTCAGATGATTTGAAAGATGAATTTTACAGAAAGCTTTCTGAACTTCTTCAGAAAGCTAAACGCTCAGACATAGTACTCATAGGGGGTGACTTTAATGCTCAGATAGGTAGCTTAGACCAAACAGAAAGGCATTTAGGTGGATACTTTAGCATTCCAGCACAGCGAACAGATAATGGTGACCGTCTGCTGCAACTGTGCTCAGACAATCGCTTATTTTTAGCAAACACAAATTTTAAGCATAAGAAGAGACATCGTCTAACATGGCGACCCCCTACACTAAACCAACGATGGACTCAAATAGACCATATTGCCATCAGTCATCGTTGGAGAGGGTCGGTAGAAGATTGTCGCTCATTCTGGAGTACCTGCTTGGACTCCGACCATGCCCCAATACGGGCACGCATCTGCTTGCGCCTCACTGGACGCAAAGAAGCCTCAGTAAAAAGAACAATTAGAACTGATTTGAGTAGCGAGAAAACCAAAAGTAGGTTCCAGGAACAACTGAGGTCACACTTAAATAGTTCTGAAAACGAGGCTGACCCAGATGTTGCTTGGAAAGCTATACTCGTCTCAGGTGCGTATCTTGGTAGTCTGGTTCAGTTTCTTACGATCACTAATTTTAAGCATAATGAGAGACCCCCTGCACCAAACCGATGGTAGACTTAAATAGAACATATTGCCATCAGTCATCGGTAAAAGACCGCCGCTCTTTCTGGAATACATGTTGAGAAACTGACCGTGCTCTAATAAGAGCATGCATTAGCTTGAGCCTCACTGGACACAGAAAAGCCACATTAAAAGGACCCGTTATGATTGAATTGAGTACCCCGACCGTTGTTGCTACCTTGACGTGGTGGTCGGGCTTGCCTATCGTGATGAAGCAACCGAGCTATACTGGCTGGAACAACCGTTCCTCAAGGTCCTACCATGTCAGACAGGTCGGTTGAAAAGCGGTAAGACTAAAATCAACAAACACAAGGTCCGAAGGCGAAGTCGTACTGCGGACTGTACAGAGGTGTGACAGAAGTAAGGTGTTTCCTTCAGACAACCAGCATGACAGCGATGCTGCCTTCACACAAGGAGGGGTGGAGTTAGGAAAGGTCGCCCTTAAAAATGCATACCTCACCTTACCTCACGGATTTCCGTCTCCGGCGGTAAGGCCCTTTGAAGAACGGAGCTAACACGTCAAAAACCTCCCACGAAAAGGGCGTGCGCGACCGGCCTCAAGCAGTTGTCCTTTGGGCACTGCGGTCATGCTCTCAGGTCACTAAGACCACCTCTAATCCAATTTCCTTTTCAGGTACCTCCAGAAGAACCCTTCCTCGGTGTGGGCAACCGGGAAATGATAACCGCCCTTATACCTCTAACAGCACTCAA